CCGGGGGCGGAGGGCGAGGGGGGCGGTTGGCGGCGACGCCACCTGTATTTTGGGCCATCATCGTCGTCTTGCTGCTGCTGGGGTTTGGGGCGCGGCTTGGGGGCCTTGAACGGCTTCTGCTCCTTCTTGCCGCCGCCGCCGGGGGTCGCGCGTGGCGTCGCGGCCGCGCCCCCGCCGCGCTGCCAGTCGGGGCGCGGCGTCGCGAGGAGCGCCTTGAAGTCGGCGTTGGACAGCGGCGTCGCGCTGGTCCATGCGTTGTTGGGCTCCGTCATGGCCGCTGCTGTCACGTGGGGGTGGCGGTGGTGCTAGCCAGCGCTGCAGCGGTATCTTGCGGGCTGCTCCACACCGCTGCAGGAGCAGAGCGCTGCGGGAGCGCGACTGTGCTTGGCCGCGGCGCCTGCTGCAGCGTTATGCCACTGCAAGCCTGCTCAATCTAACTGTATAAGAGCAGCTTTGCCTTTGTCATGCGGAGGGCTCAGTAGCTGAGAGACTGTGCAAGGCGCGACACACCGGCCAGTCACTAGATCCTTTGTGCGCAAGTATACCTCAGGAAACTAACCAACACGCATTGATCAAATGCCTATGACAAGCGTCCTGCAAAAAGTCTCGCGATCTGCTCAGCAAGTGCTGCTCAGCGGGTGTCTGCTCATGTATACACCATAGCATTATTGGTACCGCATATCTGGTAATCACCAGCATAGCACTGCACATGTTTGCAGCTGGCCTGACGAAGGGCTGCCTGGCACCTGAGCGGCATGCGGTGACGGCAGCCGCGTTGCTGCTCGCCGCCCTCAGCCGCAACGGCCACCATCGAGGCGGCTGGGGACTGTGCGCGCGTCATAGAAGCAGCACATCTGAGGAAAACGGCGAGCGCAGCGACAGCAGCAGCGGCGTTGCAACAGGTGGGGGGCTCGAGTCGGTTTTGGCTTCAGTCGTCCGTGCCATCACAGAGTTCTGCGAGGGCCAGGGCACCAAGCCGCCGATACAATAGAGGGCTGCCGACTGGATGCATACGTGCTGCGCAGCCGCCCGCAACGCGAGCATCTTGCGACAAACGGATCGAGCACAGAGTCGCTCGCACACGCACACTCGCCCATCCCCTCGCCTCCCCTTTCTGCTGGCCGACGAACCCGCGCGCGCGTTCGCGCCCGTGCAAACGCGCGCCCTGGTTGACCCCAGACTGGCTGTCCCAATACAATGCGGCGGGCCTGCGGCTGACCAAGCACCCGCTGCCGCCCTACACCTTATCGGCGGAGGAGGCGGCTTCGCTGCAGAAGGCCCGTGAAGTCATCGACACGTGAGTGGCGGCGGGACGAGGCGTTTTGGTATCATCAACACTTTGGTGTGTGCAACGCGTGGCGGGCTTGGCCTCATCTCGTGCCAGCTCCTGTTCCCTTGGATGCAGGTCGCCCTTTCAGCGGCGGCGGCGGCAGCAGCAGCAGCAGCAGCAGCAGCAGCAGCAGCGGCAGCGGCAGCGGCAGCAGCAGCAGCAGACAAGGTAGTCCAGCCAGCAGTTGTAGCCACTGCAGGAAGCGGACAGCCGCCCCCCAACCCGCCCCTCGGCCCTGCACCAACCCCACTGTCCAACTGGCCACCCGCGCACCCGGCACCCCGCAACCCCAGCACCCCCTGCCGCCCCCCCTCCTACCCGCCGCAGGCTGTCTGAGGCAGGCTGCCTGGCGCTGATCGCGGGCGGCTGGGTGCGCGACAGGTTCCTGGGGCGCCCCTCCTCCGACATCGACATCGCCACCAGCGCCAGCAACGCGCAGGTTCTTGGGGCTCTCGACACGACCGATCTGCGGGCGCCCGCCCTCGCAGCGGCCCCGCGCGGCGCGGGGCAACGCACTGCCGCTCCCAGGCGCTGTCCCGCGGCGCACGGCGCGTTGGGGTGCCTCAAACGGCCGCAGGCGCCCCTGAGCACGCGGCCCCCTGTTGCCGGGGACAAGCGCCAGTTCTCTCATCCACGGCTTGCAGACGGGCGCATCTGGCACGCTCCTCGCAGCTTTGCCGCCCGGCCCCCTCCCTCCCATGTCCCCACCGCAGGCTCCCCACCTTCCTCTCAACCCCACCC